GCTGCAAACAAATTGACTCGGGAGTGCTCGAGTCAAAGGTCAGTCAGAGCCTGAGCTTGACCGAGCAAGAGTCGAGCTCGTGCATGTTTATTATAAGCTTACCTAAATCCTAATAACGCGTTCTAATTAAAGTTAAACTTCAGAAAAATTCTATTCAAGCGAATCTCGACTGGTGTCATACATTTGTATGCTTTTGCTGGGTCGAGGTCGAGCTGAGTTGAAAAAAATCGTGCCAAGTTCAATAAGGCCAACGCTCGAATCCGCTAAGCTAATTTGATGAAGCCCCAATTTCGAATAAATTTGAGTGTGAGAGTCACATACTATTTAAGCAAGTACATATATTTTGAGTAGTCCTGAGTATTTTAATACTTACATTATTTTTTAATAGATTTTTATTCTCACTTAAGTCTATATAGTATTGAATTTTAATAAGTAAATGCAACCATTGCAAGCATGCATAAGCCATAGTGGTAATATTAGTAAAATAGTAGGGCAAAAAACTTTAACTCGTCCGAACTATTGAGATTTCGTGCTTTACCATATAAATTAATTTTATCTTTTTACAAACAATCATACGAACTCTACGTTTTTTTTTTCACATTACCCCATCAATTGGAAAAAAACTTGAGCAGAAAAAACGTCAGCACCTTCACACGCAGCTCCGGGATAGCAGCCCTCACGTCGACTAGTTCCAGCGTCCACGTTCAGTGACCCATGATCAGAGACCACAACCTGCACAGCTGTTGTCGGCCGACCTCCAATTTTTTGTCCACAAGTTCAAATTTATCGGTCGTCTTCCCTGTTCCCAACTCCGATCAACAGCCTCACGTTACCATATGATTATGTCTGTTCGGGCGACTTACCTGCGACCATCTATGACCATTTATCCGACGGTGTCTAAACGGTTGTCGGTTATTGGCTCTCCGGTTACTAGTGGTTGTCGCGGCTGAAGGAGAATGGCGGACTGGTTGCTGCAAGGGGTTAAAAAACGTTGGACTAGTGGTTATTCATTTTTTTAAATACGAAATTCTTGAAATTCTCTCAAAAATCAGCTTTTTTTTTAGTTAAAACTACTTTATATCCGATTTCAGGAGCAATTTGACAAACCCACATCGTTTAGATGGTTGTTTGTAAAAAGAAAATTACATAGAAAAACGTGAAAATGGTGATGGTTCGGATAGGTTGAAGGTTTTTTAACCCTTTTTGTAAAAGATGAAATATAACAACTTTTTGTGGAAGTATAAAATAATAATCATTTTTTCATATGGAATGTCACAATTACTCTTACTTCAGAAATGATTTATGGTCGTAAGTGCAATTATGTCATTTCACGGAACAAAACGACTATTATTCATATTTCCATAAAGATGCATATATTTCATCTTTTCATTTTTTACTTGGCTAGAAAACCAAGACACTTAAGACATACTCCAGTTTTCCTAAAATACTCCACCAATTACTGACGTTTAAATGCCAAAATTTTAACCGGTCAAAAAATTAAGAGTTCTTTCGATAACAAGTTACCATCTTATGTTTTGTGAGAATTGTTGTTTTATATTATATGCTAAAATCAAATAACATCTATAACAATGCATAAACAGTGAGATTAATACTCTACATTTTCAACAAATATATAAACAAAAGTATAACATTTTGTAACATAAGTATACATTTTAATAATAATAAAACAAAAAGACGAATCGACCGTCCAACGATTATACTGTCTCATACATAATTTTTGTGATATACAAAAAATGTGAGAGTATATGGAACTTAAAAAACATTCCTAACCTAAGTTCTCCTCTCTACCAACCAAACACACCCTTTAAAATCTCCACCTCAATATGATTGTCATGTTGGCCCATTAAATGAAACACCGCCAATTTCTTCAAATTGGGCCTTTCCCGTGAAGGGTTTGTTTGGTTGGGTCACTTTCTTTTTTCCGTGAAACAAAACCCAAATTGATTGGCTAATAAAAAATATTAACCCAATAAAAATAAAAACAGCCCAAAAAAGGGGGTGATCATCAAATTCAATCATGGGACTCACCCCACATACCTAAAAGATAGCTCTCACATTTGCCACAACTTGTGTTGCCAAACAAGCCTGGGCTGGCCATCTTGGTCCTGGGCCCCGACCGGGCCCGGCCCGGCACGATATTGTGCCTGTATTCGACTGCCACGTGTTCGAATACCTCAACCTCAAACATGTTGAGTTTAAGTTTTGGGCTAATTTTGTCCCTCACAAATGCAAAGGGGAGTTGATCTCTTGGGTTGAAGGCTTCAAGTTCATTAAACAATAGGCATGAGAAAAGGTTGGTTGGCACAGTGTGTTTTCTCAGTATAATTGCACTGTCTGGCACATCTGCAAAATAGTCCAATTCAAAAATTTTCAAAAAAATAACAAGAAAATTTAACTTCAACTTTTGAAAAAATCTCCTCAATAATATTTCAAATAAATAATGAATAATGTAAAACGGTGAGGCTACCGTTAGACAATCATACTTACAATATAAATAAAAGTATGTCATTTCACAGTTTAAGTACATATATTTGTCAAAAATATACGATGAATTAGACTATGATGGTAGCTTACTTTTCTGTATTCAAATAACCTTCATTTGGTAGGACGAGCTTTATTGAAAAAAAAAAATCTCGAGCTTATCTCATAAACATCTTTGGGTAGCTTTAAAAATAAATTCGCTGAAATTTTTTATTTCAGTTAGCTTATCAGTTAATTTTTTACTAAACATTTTCATCGTATGAGCTAACTTTTTACTTTTTAGCTATAAGTCATAACCTAGAAGTTTAAAAATTACTTATAAACTTTAAGTTAATTTATCAGCTAGTTTTACTAAAAGAGTATTAATAGTATGCTAAGTCAAGAAAGAGAGAAAATAAAACTAACATAAATTAAAATAAAATTATTATTGCTCATTATGTATGACCTAGTGGCATGAGAGTAGCGGGATTTAAGGGACCTAATAAGAACCTTTCATGTGCTTATTCTTTGGTGTTTAATAGGTCCAAAATTTGCCAACTACCATATTGGTTCACCATCAAGACTTGACAGCTCATATTAACATAAAATAAGATTAATAGGTGCCTATAAGGTTCTATTTATATCTCTCAAATTGCATAAAAGAATAAAATTATGGTCCTTTTTTTTTATTTAATTTGGAATCTTTTTCATTTTAATAGTAGCATAGTTGACACAAGAAAGGTCCTAGAAGACAAAAGAAAGCACCATTTCTTGTAAACTACTCTATTCTGTATAATTAAAAAAAGTGAGTAATTTGGGGGAGCCTTTAGCTAGCAAGCTTCAAAGACAAAAAAACATCATTACATTGAGAAAAATATCACAAATTATTGACTTACATGCTAGCTTTTAATCAAGTAAAACCAAATTAAACTCTATAGTCTATACCATCTTTAATTGGCCTAGAGTTATATATGTGTCACAACCAACTTTGTTATTTTTTAAAGTTACAAGAGTTTGAAACAAATATGAGGATATGCTTGTGATTAGTGCTATTAAATTAAACGAGCTGAACTCGACTTCATTTAAAACTTATTTGGTTAATGGGTCGAGCTCGAATCGGCTCAAAAAAATGATTTTTATATAATTTTCTATAGTTCAGCCCGTTAAAGCTCGAGATCGGCTCGTTAAGAATCGAACTCGACTTGTTATTAGCGATAAACATGTCATGCTCAAGCTCGATTTCAGGCTCGTTTATTTAACTAGCCGAGCTCGACCCAGCTCGAGCTGGGCTCGACTCGTTTAGAGACTTTTCATTTCTAAACGATAAAACTCAAGAATACTTTTCTATTTAATCTACCTGTGGGGTAGGTCTTATTCGGGCTCCACGGGGTCAATCCGTTTTCGCAGTAAGTCTCCATTTGGACCTTCAACCCGTTCACATCCCACCATTTTTTCCACCTAGCGGTCGCCATTGCCTCCTCCATCGTATGCGAAAAATAAGGATGCCTCGAGATAGCCATGTCAGCATTCTCCTCCACAACAAGTGAATGAATCAACAAAAACGGGTCGACTACCAATTGCATCTTTGCATCGACCCACACGCTATACTTTGAATTCGGAAATAGCCGGTGGATTAGGTACTTGGGTATGATCCCATTCATGGCGGGACTTTCGTACAAGAGCTCGCTCGAGACATTAACGATCCTCCAAGCTCCGATTTTGAGTTCTTTCGATGTTTTTGTGATCATTTTGTGGTAGTGAAGTCGGTTCAGAGTAGCATCGTCGACAAACATGAAGAAGCACGCGTGGTCTAAGGTTTTCGACCCGAGGCCCCTCGGCTGACGAATTTTGTCGTGGTCGTTGAATATGGCGGACGCCACAACTAGTCCACGGCATTTTTCCATGGAAACTCTATCTGAAAAACAATAATAATAGTTCAATATTCAATACACAAATAACAACCATTTAAACTCATAAATCTTCTTGAGCTATTACCATGGACATGAAAAACAAAAGGGAGTGCCTAAATTGATTGGTAAATAGTAAATGCACTTAGTAAATAAATCGGTTGGTTTATAGTAGTAAATTGATTGGCATTTCTCCATGGAAATTCTATCTGAAAACAATAATAATGTTTAATATAGAAATAACAACCATTTAAACTCATAAATCTTCTTGAGATATATAAAACATTTACATGAAAAAACAAAAGGGAGTGCCTAAATTGATTGGTAAATACTAAATAGTGAATACACTTAGGGAAAATTCCAAGGTCTCATTAGGGGATGGTGACTGTGGATAATCTACGATAACAAACCGTGACGGAACCATTCCGTCAACGAGATTTTAGCCGTTCCCTTCACTTGGATCATATCAAAAAAACAGACAAAAAAACAGAGCAAAACATGAAAAAATCTTGAAAAAAAAAAAAACAAGAATTTACCAGAATCACTAACAGGAAATTTCTTGAAAAACCCACATGGGATCTCAGTTTCTTCTTCTTCGTGATGATCGAAAAACGATAACCTCTCAGAAAGATTCAGATTCCCACCAAAAGTTTCATGATTCCCCTGCATATACCTCAGACCCGATTGCCCCGTGGAGCCGTCAATTCTTTTCTGGATTTCATCGAAAACGACATGATAATCTGACCCAGAAAATAGAAAGAACATGAATTAATCCGAAAAAATCTAAAATAATTTGTTTCAAGATTTTTTATTTTTATTTTTTATTTTTGTTATCATCTATTTTTATATATACCTGAGAAAAAAACAGGGGAGTTGCAGGAGTTTCGAGTTGTGGGTATGGCGTGTTTGTGTTCTCCATAAGAGGATGGATATAAGAAGAGTGGGGCCTGAAGGGGGTCGAAGGTCGACCACCGGAAAACGCATTTGGTGGCGGAGAAGGTGAAGTAGACGGCCAAGGAGACGGCGGAGAAGAGGTAGATGAGAGAGAAACAGAGGAGTTTGGATTGGAAGATGAGTGGCTTTGAGAATGTAGCCAACTTCCCCATTTTAGTAGAAACTGCCCAATCACACATCATCATCATCATAATGCTAATTTTTTGTTTCTTGCATCTTACCCTTTCCCTTTTTTTTTTTTTTAAGGTATTAGTATTCATTATGTCCGGTTTGTAGCTATCCTCGATGGTTACATGATGATCTACCGATTACAAACTACAACGGAATGATTCTCTAACAGGGTTGTAGCATTTCTCGTTGTTGTGTAATGGTTAGTCAATTATATTTTTAAGAGATGTATTTAATTTTCAAGTATGATTGTATAGGAATTTTTTTATTAAGAATACGGTTGTTTTAAACATTAGGTAGCTAATTTAAAAATCCCACTTTATATGTATTAATGCAGAATGTTTCGATTCTACGTGTTGATTTTTAGTGTTTTGTAATTTTATGCGTCGTAAGCATATGGTTTGGTCTTGAGTCGTACAAGTAGATCTTAACTTCTATCTAAAAGTTTTAAGATTATAAAACTCTTGATCAATTGAAACTATAAGTATACTTTATTATATTTTCATATATGAAATATTAAACTAATAGTATGATAACATGTTTCGATTTGACATTTATATTGTATATATAAATAAATATCTATATTTACCTTTATAATAAAAATTAAATTATATATCAATATTAATTAAAAAATAAATAAAATATTTGTTCAACTTATATATTAAATTTATTATATAACATGCCTTAAAGAAGTTATTTTTAACTACAAATAAATTTTAAAAGTTAATAACTTTCTTATTTGTTTATCAGTTTCTTGTTATGTTTTTGTTTGACATCTAAATTGTATATACAAATAAATACATATAATTACCTTTCTAACAAGGAATATATTTTATATCAACTGTAGTTAAAAAATAAATAAAAATATTTTTCATTGAAATAAATTTATCTATTAATTTCATTACATGACTAAAAAGTTTATTATATAATATGTCTTACTAAATTAATGTGATAGAATAAAGTGACGAGTGCCATTTTAAATATAAATAATAATCTGTGATTGTAAGAATAGTTAAAACGTTAAGGCTAAAACTTCCGTTTACCTACATTATTTTGATATTTTGTAATACACCGCTATGATTTGGAATAGGCCATGTTGATCTAGACTTTGCTCATACTTATTTTTATAATTATAAAACACCTGGCAAATCGAGAATGTATTTGAAATAAGTTATATTCCAAATTATATTGGTTAGTATTTTTTTTTCTGAAATTCAAGAAATAAATATAACCAAAACTAAAAATTATATCAAATTCGAATGGAAAAGAAAAAAAGGATAAGGATTGGGATTGAGTATTTGGATTAAAATTGGTTGCTTAAGAATCGGTGTTAGTTCTCCATTAAATAAAAAAATATATATATATATATATATATAAATAATAATAATAATAATAATAATAATAATAATAATAATAATAATAATAATAATAATAATAATATGTGTGTATGCATAAACTGTTCTTTTCATAAAATTCAAATGTCCTCTTAAACAAAAGTGGTCCTAAAAATTCAAGTGGAGCAATTTTATAGAGTCCAATTTTATTGGCACATGCTCCAATATGTCAACGGGATCTTGACATATTATATAATATATATGTATATATATAATATACTACATAAATATGGATATAATGTAAATATTAAATAAATTTTCTTTTATGGCATTAAAAAATGGTCATCAGACAGGAATACGAACTTATCCAACAATTCAAACACGAACTTATTGAACAATTCAAACAATTCACGAACAAGTTCGACTATATAAACGAACGAACACGAACATGTCGAACAAATAAACGAACGGACATGAACAAAATTTTTAGTTCATTTACTAAACGAACGAACACAAACATGTTCGAAAATTAGTCGAACTCGAGCTTGAAAACCTTGAGCTCAGTTCGGTTCGATAACAGTCCTACTTGCAATACAGCCAATTTCTTCATTCAAACTCATGTGAATGGAAATAGAAAGCAATTTCACAACCCCAAAAAGCAGTGAAACTGCATACACTAAACACCAAACTTTCTTCCATCATAATATCATCTTCATAAAGCATGGCCATAAACATGAAAATGATAATCTTTACCACAAACCAAGTGCATTTGATAAAGATCACAAACACTGATCAAAACGAGCACCTTTGATGGGAAAATTATCCTCCACTGGATATATATCACATATTTTTCATTTAAAACTCTGCAAAGGATCTGCTGTTTTGCCAGACCTTGCATCTGTCCATGCTTTCGCAATTGTTCGTTTCATATCTTCATCTCCTTCTTCGTACATATTCTGCAAATGGGTTGTTGATAAAATCATCACATGAAAAGAAAAATCACAAAATGGATAAAAGTAAAAAAACATCTCGGCACTCCATCATTGTTTTGCTACCGTACCTTCATCAACCCCATTATTCCAGCCATTGGATCCCCCTCTTTGTCTAAATTTGGTTTCAACTGTAAATATCATAAATCGGGTTTTACCACTAGCTCAAAAAAAATTAATAATAACAAAAAAAAAAAAAAAAAAAAAA